GAATGATTACAATTACATATGGGCACGTGTGTATGTTTAAGACGGACTTGAAAAAAAAAAAAACCTGAACAGTTTACCCCAGTTCACTTTATTTTTCTGATGCTTGTTGTCAATAAAAACAAACATGTCAGTCATTTCTGTGGTCAGCTGTTGCTTTGGTCTGACTGAGTGACAACATTTGAAAATTTATCCGATTATGGCACAATTTCATGGTTACATTACATATTTTGCCTGTATTCAATTGTCTTATTTACTTAATCTAACACTGTGGATGTCCACAGTTAAGTATTATGTTCATGGATGTAACGGTGAACAACTGTCAGGTGCCGATCATTGCACAGCAAAAGCATCACCTATGTATAGAAAAATCTGTTTCAATGTACATTCTTGCCCAAAACTTTTTTGAATTATGAAATCGAGCTTTATGTAATTTATATTAATTTATCTAAATTAATAAATAGTTCTACTTTCTCTAAGCAAAATGGCTGGAGAAGTGTAACTATAATAAATTTAATATGATATACAGATTATACAGTGTCCATTTTATTCATGAACTGAATCAATCCTGCAGCGTGAGCTTGTTTTTATGTTGTAGAATTATATATAATAATATCCTCATGATAACCAGCAGAGTCATGCTGCAGATAGAAATGAGACAATAACAATCGGATGCTATTCAAATACACCAACAGGGATGAGACCTTGGATAAACTACGTCTATCTGTTGCAAAGCAACACGACTCTGCACAAGGTGACAACAGCCACTAGCACCACACCCAGATGATCACACCACTGAAACTCCTTCAGTCTCAACAGGGAAGCCATTCAGTTCAGAAAACACAGTGAGGACACACAGAGGTACTAAATACCAAACCCAAAAAAGTAAACACTACACACACACACACACACACGACATGAGGACACAGCAAACCAAGGAGTCAAACAAAATGGAAATGAACAACAACAAAAAATAAATAAAATAAAAAATAAAAAAAAGGGTTGTCACATGTAAATGACAGTCAGTTCAGGTGTTAACACACTTTAAAGCAATAGTATTATTACTCCTAATTTTGCTTTGATTCTGGAAATGTTGTCGTATATAATTTTTTTTCTGGTATTTTTCAACTACAAAACATAAAAATATACACAAATTTCAGCACCTGAACTGAATGACTTTTTTGAGTAGAGCCACTTTCTACACCAAAGCAAAGTACAATGTGTGTATTTAAGAGATGTGGTTCATGCCATAGTTCCCTTGTTACAGGCATAATGATAAATCACTATGACAACAAGTAACCATGATGCGACAAATAAAAATAATGACAGCGAGAGAAAAATGGCAGGAGATGACACCAAACCAGGCAGTGACATAGTGGCAGTAGATCTTCAGGCAGTAACTACTTACTCACGATTTTAACTGTAGTTTAACTCTAAAGCAGACTGAGGCATTAGGAGCCCTTAGCTCTTGCAGAACATCTAATATAGAGTTTAGCAATGTTTATCTGATATAGAGAAAATATTTCCAAAACATATTTGTGTGTATTTACTCAGGTTTGCTATAAAGTAAGTGTGTAGTTGTGTTATACCTGCATGTTGTCCGGATCCTCTCCTCGATGCTGCCCCCTGGGGATCCTGTGCGGTGACGGAGGCAGAAGTCCAACAAACTGTGCCTGAAGCGACTGAACAACAAACAGTGCACTCCTTTTGAGACTAATTAAATTTTACCAAGAGCAACCTAGCAAAAAAAAGAAAGCTGAATGCAAGTACCAAAGCTGCAGCTACAAACAGTGAATATAAGCACAATTACTCTACTAATGCCCAATTTAAATAACACAAAATCTAATTAAAATCCAATAAACAGGAGGGAAAAAGGCTGGCATCGTCATGACGTACCTCTAGCAGCTGTGCAGACAGTCGAGCCAATTGGCCCTTGAGTGCCTCATTTTCTTCATGAAGGCTCTCCAGCTGCAAGTGTCCTTGTCCAGCTTTGCAGCCCTGAAACCAAAGCACGTGTAATAATCAGTGTTTTTAGAAAAAAAAAATGTATAAGGGTTTTCTGTTTAGATTTATGCAGTTTATACCTTGGTCAGCTCTTTCTGTGCCTCCAGCTCCTGCTTCAGCGTAGCGTTCTCCTGTTCCAAGGCCTTCACCAGTGACGACTGATTCTGTTTGTGCTGCTTCAGGGATAGGATGGTAGCATCAAGCTGTCGGACCTGCAGACACAAAATAAAGGGTGTTAAGATTAGTGAGAGAGGTTTTAAAGTTCATTACAATTTAAAATGGCCTGAAATAACAGACAGCTGTCATACACTTACACAACCATCTCTCTAAGCTTACTCATCTTGCTGCAGGGCTCAGCTCACCTTTTCTTGGGACTGCACAAGGTCTCCTTTGATGTCGAGCACTTCGGCCAGAAGCCTCTCGTTTTCTTGCCTCAGCAGCTGCTGCTCCTGTTCCATCAGCCGAGACACGTCATTTCTGTACAGCTTCTTGCTCTGGAGACCACTCGAGTGCAAGGCCATCTCCAAAGCATGGTTCTGACATTAACAAAAGAAAAAGGTCAAGTCTACTGACAATAGATGCAAAGGCCTGCTTAATAACTGAACACCTGCAGAATAACAAAGGATAAATTACTGTGTTTGTTTTTCACTGTGCTGTTGCACTAAAATATTTTATTTCAGGATGCACTGATCCTTACAAAGAACATCAGACATTTACTTTATGATGTGACTCATGCACATTGAAAACGGTTTCTTTCATCAGAAAAATGTTATGTCTGCTATCAGTTAAAATAATTCAGTCACGCTGATATTTAATACCAACCATTCCTGGCCCAAGGATTTTAAATTGGGAAAAAGAAGAGATCACTAGGATGGAAGTGGCAACCTTTATCAGCAAATACTCTTTGAGTTGAGGTACTGAATTCTGTGTGATTTAATTAGTGCATTTCTAAATTTATTATCTTGGTAAGTGACAAAGCTCAAAAGCATCTTACTTTATCGTTGGCATTCTGCAGCTGTTTGCAAAGCACTGCCACGTCATGTTTGAGGGACTCTCTCTCCTGCTGCAAAACACGGAGGTCCGTCTTGAGACAAGCGTTTTGATTGTTTACCGCTTGCAGAGCTTCATCTGCTGCCTTGGCCTAGTATGGAAAAAGGAATGGATTTGGCCCTTATTAGTTCATTGAACAGCACAGAGCTTAGGAAACACCCCAGGTTACAATTTCATGTATGTTACTGTTAGATGCTTTGAATTAAGCCTATTAAATAGCAACTGTGATGTAATGTTTTTCCCAAATATTAACCTAGCAATTAACTGAAGTTTAGGTGAGAACAGGAAATGTGACACAATCTGAAGTTTATCAATCCTAAACCATCAAGACACTATATTGGTCATCCATCTAGTGCAACAGTTGCTGAAGAGAACTACAGCAGACTCTTACCCGGTCCTGAGCTTTGGCTAGCTGGCTGCGAAGGCTTTGATTCTCCTTATCCACACTCTTCCTCTCCTCTGCTAGGTGACTGAGCTGCGTGTCCACAGAGTCCACTTTGACTGCCTAAGAACAAGAAGAAAACAATGGCTGTAACGAATCAGTCATTTTGCTGTTTGCTAAAGCTAGACAACAGATCTCAGTGGATCACAGTTGCCTCAGTGCAGGTGAAATGATTCAGACGTGTTTCTCTACGATCACTGATCATTTTGTGCATTAGGTAGTATTAATTCACTTTGTGCCTGTGCCACGTTTTGATGGGCTTGATCCATTAAAGGGACTGAGGCCTGATGCCTACCTTCTCTCTGAGGACAGACAGCTGCTGTGACAGCTGGATATTCTTCTCCTGCAGCTGTGCAGTGTCCTCCAGAGCTTTGTGCAGCTCTGCCTCCAGAGCAGACACACAAGCTGCCAGCTAACACAAAACAACCATCAATTAACTACCCACTACGACCACAGCGACATCATCACGACCATCAGACCAACACTGCTTACCTTGTGTTTCTCCTCAGCGGGAAACACCTCCCTCTTCTCGTTTTCCTTTGTCAGCTCCACCAGTCGCTGTCGTAAAGTCTCCATATAAGCAATATTTTGGACATTTTTCTCTGCCAGCATCGCGTTCTCACCCTTGAGTTTCTGGTTTTGCAAATTCAGCCCTGAAATCTGCAGAGACAAATAAACGTACCACGAGCTGTTACTGAATCTGGAAAATGTACATACATGATAAGAAAACTTTTTCCTTCTCCAAGTTACTTATACCTCTTTCTTGAAATTCTCTGCTGCCTCTTGAGCTGCAGTCCTCTCTTTTGTTAGGCACTCCAATGTTTGTCTAAGATTAAACAAGAAGTAAATACCAGTTTATATGGCAAAATAAACTAGAATTACCACATTGCCAACCAGTCAAGTTCACATAAATATGATGGACGCGAGGACACAATGGGTCTCACCCACCAGTATTTTTTATTATCTAAAATTTGTTCTTAGGTAAGAACATATATTATGGTAGAACAGATATTTTGGCCAGTGTGGAAACATTTGGTAGTCCAGCACCACATTTGAGATCAGACTCAGGGCAGTTAAAGGGACCTGGGTTCACGTATGGAGGTCTGCTCAGCTGACGCCACAACCGAGAAAGCCATGTATGGCCCTGATGTGCTGGTCCAGGTCTGGGTCAGCCTGTCCTCCTCCATTGATCAGTGTCTCGCTTCAGTGGTTTTTTTTGTTGCCTCTGATTTAGTATCAAACCATCTTTTTAATTCATCAGTTGTGGGCCCTTCTCCTTGTACAGCGTTCACTGAATGAGTAAGAGTATCACGTCTTTTTAGTTTTATATCCACTACTGATGCTACTAAATATGGCAGCTCATTTGTTGGTCTCCACAACTCTTCAAACTTTTCTTCAGTTTGGAGTTCACTGATCCACTGTCTTTAGATTTTCATTCTAGCATTCCTGGCTTTCTCAACTTCTCCTTTGTTTCTCTGTGCACACAGCCCTGCACTCTCATGCCCTTTTACAGGCATTGGCAGGGTGTTATCCTATTCTAATTAGGAATGACTCGCGCATGCGTTCAACTTACAAACACATGGGATTCATCAATACAAGAAAACAAGTGTGAACAATTCTGCGGTTTAGAAACATGTTCATGAATCAGAGAAACTTTTCTTAGGACATTTCTTAACAACAACAACAACAACAACAACAACTTAGGAACAAATTTAAGAAAATACTTAGGAAGATGTTGGAGAAGGAGGCCCAATGACTTTGACCACCAAAATCTAAAAGCTCAGCCTTGAACCTGAGCATAACACCTCTGGTTACAGCTGACGCCACGTGGAGGAATAAAAAACAAAAAACAAAAATCTGACTGTTAACTGAAAATATTCTGATGTTTCTTACGTCATTTCTTCCTGGGCCTCTCTCAAGTCCTCTTCCTTCAACACAGCAATCTTTTGCTTGAGGAGGAGGTTTTCTTCAGCAAGACGACTGGCCTCAGCTCTATAGACACACACGACTATGTTATAAAAAAAATAAAAAAAAAACCCACAAGATTCCAACATGCTTTGCAGACATCAGAACTGGTAAGAAACTCTTTGCTACACATTGATTAAAAGCTTGTCATGTTGTGCACACACACACACACACACACACACACACACTGACTGACTGGTTCCCCATCCCCCCATAATCACAGGTAGGACAACAGCACTACAGTGTGCTTGGGAACAAAAAGGGGGAAATAGATGGGACAGCGTGAAGCCACAGGAGACATGGGAGTATGGGATCCTACTTTTTCTGCACATTACCTATGGGCATGTGCCGTTTCATGCAATGCCTGTGACTTGTCCTGTAGCTCTGCGATGACTCTGCAGAGTTTGGTGTTCTGCTTCTCAAACTCCACGCAGCAGTCCTCGAGGACACTCACCCCCTGAACTTTAACCTGCACATGTCTCGTCAGATCCAGTAAACCTTCTTCTGTGAAGCTCTCCATTTGGTCAGCGCCTGGATGCACAGCTGAAAAAACCTCATCCTCCCTCTCCAGTGCACTGAACAGCTTCAACAGCTCAGCATTTGTTTCCTTCATCTTGCTGATCTCATCCACGAGTGAAATCCGTTGATCTCGGAAATCGTGCGAAATACTTAATCTACTTTCAAGGCTCCAAAGGATCTTTGCAAGTTCACAGTTTTGGTCCTTCAGTTTAGCATTTTCACACATGCAATCTTGATACTTAGCCTGAACATCTGTTATTTTTAAGGCCTTTATCTCCAGCTGTTTGACATGCTCCATTAACAGTAGCATTTTAACTTTGAGGCTATAGTTTTCCTCCAAAGCCTGGTGGCCAGTTTTGATCTTTTCATCATTATGAGCCAAAAGGTTCTCTAGTATTTCTGTCTTCTGTTGAAGCAGAGAAATCTTCTCATGTAGGAGGGTGTTCTCCTCTGTGACAGTGTTATACAAAGCCTGTAGCTTAAGGAGAGAACAATTCTGATTTCGAGAACCATTTGGCGAATGATTAACTTCAGCACCCTCCAAAGATGGCTCACTAGGGTCACCCAACTCCTCCAGTCCAGATGGATCAATCGCAGGCTCTTGTTCTTGGTTCTCAGTGTCATCCATCCTTACTTTTGGCATGATTTCTCTGTGACCATCACCGGTAACGGGGCACTCTTTATTGTATTGATGATCAACATTTATGGTATTTTCAGGGCTTCCATCCACTGCATCGCTGGTCTCCAATACTATCTCTACATCAACATCTTGTTGGATCAGAACTGGTGAAAAACTAACCAGCTGCTGCTTAAAGGAATCAACAGGAATAACAAGATTAATGAGAGAGGTTTCCATTTCCTGCCATTCACCAGAAAAAGAAATAGATTCTTTGGGGTTGTGTGCCTCCTCTGTATGTGTATTTAATTCATAAGATCCCTCCATTTCTTCTTTCTCTGCCTTTTCTATAGAGGCCAAAACGCCACAGAGATTCATCTCTAGCTCTATAATTCTTCTGAGATCTCTCTCTGCTAAAAGCTCTTCTCCGTTATCTTTTATCTTTTTCTCAAGGACGGACATACGTTCCTGTAGCTCTTTCCTTTCAAGCTCAAAGTCCACTGCTGCCACTGCTGCCTGTTCAAGCAGCATTCCCATCTCTTCAATCTGCATTTTTAAATCATCTTGCTCCATTAACAGTTCAATCCTCTCAGTTATCTGCCTCTCAGAAACCAAACGCATTTCATTATACTTTGATTCAAGCTCTGACTGGCTGCTCAGAAGTTCTGCCCTCTCCTGTCTAAAATCCTCCACTGTTTGATTTAACAGAACCTCAGTCTGAAAAGTTTTGTTCTCAGACTGAGCAAGAAGCTTGTCTTTGGCTTCCAGGCTTTCCTGTAGTCTGTTATGGAGGTCATTCAGCTGCCGACTGAGCTCTAGTTCTTTAGTCTGGGCTATACTACTGCAGTTATCCAGTTCATTTTGTAGTTGCTTATTCTTTATTATTAGTTCTTTTATTTCTTCCTTGTGAATACTTTCTAGCTCATAGTGTTCTTTTGTGCACTTCTCAACCAGGCGCTCTCTTTCCTGCTCCATAGCCACCTCCATCATTCCTCTTTGTTCCTCTGTGCTCTTGAGCGCCTTCTGTATCTGTGCCTCCCAGTGGAGCTTCTGCTCTGCATGGTTTTCAGATAGTGCCTTCAGCTCACATTGGTAGTGCTGCTCAAGTTTCAAAACATCCGCCTGAAAACGCTCTGCAACAGATTCTTGATCACCTGAGAAACGATCTTCCATTTCTTTGATTCTCTGGATGAAGCAGAGCTCGATTTCCCTCCTGTACATGGTTATTCAATGATTGTTACAGCAACAGTTATGAACTCTTAACAGCACAACAAACAAACCTATGTCCCAAGATTAGAAGCTATTCCTGTAATTAATGCATGTTTAAAGCACTTAATATGAGATAAAATGAATTAAAAAGCTCACCTCTCCTGAGCTATGTCATCTCGGAGTTTGTCCAACATGCTGCTCAGTGCGTCCCTCTCCTCGCTGTGTTTGACAGTCAGCTCCTTCATGGCCTCTTGGTGGCTCTCCTCAACTCGGGACCTCTCCTCTGCCATTAATCTTTCTAGTTTCTTCCCCACCTCCTCTTTCTCTGTCTCAAGTTTCTCCCTTTCTTCATTCAACCTATCCTGGAGGATCCCTTCATAGTCCTCCTCTAGCTGCAGTCTTTCCCTCTCCCACTCCTCCTTTAGCTTTTTCTCCTTCAGCTCATACTGCTCCTGCAACTGCAGCCTTTCTTGATGCATTCTATTAAGAAGAGCCTCCTCGTGGCGCTCCTGAAGCTGAATGCGTTCAGTCTCCCACTGTTCCCTGAGCTCGCTCTCCTTCTTTTCTTGTTCCCTGACAAGTCTCAGCATCTCCTCCTCCAGCAGCACCTGTAGAGACTCCTGATTCTGCTCATCCAGCTGAGCCCTTTCTTTCTGCCACTGGTCTGTCAGTCTCTTCACGGTTTCATCACGCTCTTCTTCAAACCTGATCTTTGCCTCCTCCAGCGTGGCCCTCAGTTCATCCTCGTGGCACTGTAGCAACAGTTCTTTCTCCCTTTCATAACCATCTAAAAATCTCTTCTCCAGCCCAGCCTTTTCTTTCTGCAGTTTCTTTCTCTCCTCGTCCAGTCTGGCTTCAGAAACCTCCACATGCTCCTCCTCCAGTTTCTTGATCTTAGTAGCATGTTGTTTTTTCAGTTCTTCCATCTCATTGAGAAGGTTTTCCTCCATCTCCGCCTGCTGGGCTTCGAGGGTTTTCAGCTGCTCTTCCAGGTCTGCATTGTAGGTGTGGGCCTCCAGCAGCTGTTGTCTGAGAGTCCCCACTTCCTCCTCTTGCAGGTTTTCCAGTTCTTCCCTCTCCTTGGCCTGTTTCTGCTCCAGACAGGTTTGCTCCAGCTCCGCCTGCTCTAGCTGGCTCTCGAGCTCCTGTACGTGGCTCTGAACGCTGGCCATCTCCTCCCTCAAAGCCTGGACCTCCTGCTGGTACTGAAGGACTAAGGCAGCCTTCTGGCCCTCATGGGTCAACCTCTGCTTGTCAAATTCACTGATCTGTAGTGATAAACAGCATATAAAGTAATTAAATTAATAGAATGAATAGTTTGTAGAAATGCACTAATTTGCTTGAGATGAGAAAATTGATATTACTGTCATAAATGTATGACTTTGTCAGCAGCCAATTAGCTTAGCATTAAGCTAACAGAGAAACAGCTGCTTTGGCTCTGTTCAAAAGTAAAAAAATCCAATGTGGCTGGTTTTGCGAGTCCGGTTTGCTTACCCATCTCCATTAAAGTGCTACACACAGCTGTTTACTGACTGTTTATGCAACATGCATCCATCCAAAAGGGACTAGGCAGCTAGTGTAACAAAAAATTTTCAATTATGAATAAGAACAATTGTTTGCAGTGCAAGCTAGCATGCATCAAATGCACAGTAACAACATGCGCTGCGGTTAACTCCGTGGTTCTCAAAGTGTGGGGCGCGCCCCACTAGTGGGGAATAAAGACGACAGGTGGGGCGCAATGAATGGACAAAAATTAGAAATGGGTCATTAATACAGGTAAGTTAAAATAACATCAGTTTGGGACCTGGGAGAAAAAACGTGGAAAAAAAAAAAAAAAAAAAAAAAAAAAAAAAAAAAAGCA